CCAAGTTTTGCTATAGTTAATTACAAGTTATAAATATTGTTTCAACGCTACTTGGAAGATATTTCCCACCGTTTCAAATACATATTTCTGGAACCTTGGGACTATTCGAAAAATATGTTTGTGGTAAGATACATAATTTATAATTATATAAGGTTATTTGGGAATATGAAACTTACAAATTAAATTTTGGGGAGGGGGTTTCTTATAAAAAAGAAGGGTCACTCTTGTTGCAGGGAGCGAATGCAGAATAAACGAACACAAAGCAGATTTGTTGAAATGCAGTGGTAATGGGCCTCGTGCAAAACAGTTTGTTGGGTATAATTTTAACTTCAGAGATCCATTACTGTAACAAAAAGGTTCCTTATATACACCTCCTTTTTTTTCTGAAAGTACACCTTTATTTTAAAAAAAATTAATTAAAATTTTAAATTATTCTTATTTTTTTTAATTTTTAATTTTTTAATTTTACATCCATAATATTTAATTTAGTAAAAAAAATTTCATATATTTTCCCTCCTTTTTTCAATTTTTACATGCACTCCCTTACCTTTCCTTCACCCTACCTATTTTGGTAGCATGTGAAAATAAAAAAAAAAAGTGTGTGAAAAAAAAGAAAAAATGTAGTAAATTGAAAGTTAAAGATGTAAAATTATAAAATTTATAAAAAAAAATAATATTTTATAATTTAAAAAAAAGTATAAAGGAGGTGTACTTATAAAAAAAAGGAGGTGTATATATCATGAGCTTAACAAAAATTGTATAACGGGCTCTATTGGGCCTTACTCCTTTTCACCTTTAGCTTTCCTTTTGGTTTTTTTAATCCTGCAACATGTCTCTGAAATTTTAAAGAATTTTTAACCAGGTTCCTAGATTAAATATTTTTAATAATTGAATCCTTAATTTTAACAATTTTTATAATTGAGACTTTAAAGTTAGTAAATCGTTATAAATTATTATTTATGTGACGATTTCAAGCCGTTTTGAACTTATTCTATGGACTCGAATATAAAGATTGTAGAAAATAAAAAATCTAATTAAAAATTCCATGGACTAGTGATATATTAACTTTTTTATTTTATTTTATATATATATATAGTTGCGCACAGTAACTTTATTTTCTTCAATTACACATAACCGTTTCAATAACTTGTTCGCTGCAGCTTACTTTTCTGAATTGTCTGTAGTTGTATTTCAGGCAATATTAATATTAATATTAGCATTTTCATTTGATTCGACCAAAACCGGAAGGATTTTAGTTATTAGAAACATTCAGACTAGGGGTGTTCAAATTGCTAAACTAAACTAAACCAGAAGAAAACTAAACTAAACTATAAGAAATAGTTCATTAAATTAAATTGAACTAAAATAAATATTGACTACACTAAACTAAACTATTATCTAAATTAGTGTACTATAGTTCTAAAAATTTAAACTAAACTATAATATCAATTAAATTAAATTATTATTAATTATAAATTAAATTTATTAATTATAAACTAAATTAAACTACATTAAAAAAATAAATTTAAAATCAATATTTTTAAATTGAGTTACTAAATCATTGATATTAATTATAAATTAAATTTAAAATAATTTGAAATACAAAACAAATATTACATTGACATCAATCCCTTAGCTTTAATGCTGATATGTAATTTAAAAAATTTCATATATTTTCCCTCCTTTTTTCAATTTTTACATGCACTCCCTTACCTTTCCTTCACCCTACCTATTTTGGTAGCATGTGAAAATAAAAAAAAAAAGTGTGTGAAAAAAAAGAAAAAATGTAGTAAATTGAAAGTTAAAGATGTAAAATTATAAAATTTATAAAAAAAAATAATATTTTATAATTTAAAAAAAAGTATAAAGGAGGTGTACTTATAAAAAAAAGGAGGTGTATATATCATGAGCTTAACAAAAATTGTATAACGGGCTCTATTGGGCCTTACTCCTTTTCACCTTTAGCTTTCCTTTTGGTTTTTTTAATCCTGCAACATGTCTCTGAAATTTTAAAGAATTTTTAACCAGGTTCCTAGATTAAATATTTTTAATAATTGAATCCTTAATTTTAACAATTTTTATAATTGAGACTTTAAAGTTAGTAAATCGTTATAAATTATTATTTATGTGACGATTTCAAGCCGTTTTGAACTTATTCTATGGACTCGAATATAAAGATTGTAGAAAATAAAAAATCTAATTAAAAATTCCATGGACTAGTGATATATTAACTTTTTTATTTTATTTTATATATATATATAGTTGCGCACAGTAACTTTATTTTCTTCAATTACACATAACCGTTTCAATAACTTGTTCGCTGCAGCTTACTTTTCTGAATTGTCTGTAGTTGTATTTCAGGCAATATTAATATTAATATTAGCATTTTCATTTGATTCGACCAAAACCGGAAGGATTTTAGTTATTAGAAACATTCAGACTAGGGGTGTTCAAATTGCTAAACTAAACTAAACCAGAAGAAAACTAAACTAAACTATAAGAAATAGTTCATTAAATTAAATTGAACTAAAATAAATATTGACTACACTAAACTAAACTATTATCTAAATTAGTGTACTATAGTTCTAAAAATTTAAACTAAACTATAATATCAATTAAATTAAATTATTATTAATTATAAATTAAATTTATTAATTATAAACTAAATTAAACTACATTAAAAAAATAAATTTAAAATCAATATTTTTAAATTGAGTTACTAAATCATTGATATTAATTATAAATTAAATTTAAAATAATTTGAAATACAAAACAAATATTACATTGACATCAATCCCTTAGCTTTAATGCTGATATGTAATTTATTATTTGCTTTTGGAAAATAATAAAGGTATGTTGTCAGTAATGAGATAGAAATAAAATTAATTGGTAATATTTGCATCCTGTGGGTGTGAGAGCACTGTTACCTAAAAAATCTCCTACTCCTTCATATTAACTGGCTACCATGGCATTTGGTTTCCGTGAATGTGCTTCAGTCCGAACAGAACACCTTACGTTTCCGCGAGTCCGTACGACGAATGTGGTAGTCTCCGTGAATCAGTGCTTGTATTTGATTTTAGTGAACTGAACTATTAATTTTAATAGTTTAACTTTATAAACTACACTAAAAGTAATAGTTTGGTTTAAACTATTAAAAAATAATTTAGTTTATTTTAATTTAGTTTAGTTTAGTTATTTAAAAAGTTTAGTTTTAAATAGTTTTGTGAACACCCCTAATTCAGACGGTGTTCGTATATTCGAATAATCCATAAAATTGATAATATGAATCAAAGCAATTAAATTAGTTCAGTTTATTTTTATTCGATCAAATTAGATTTAAATTAATTAAATTTAACTTTAATTGATTCAAATTACAAATTTATATTTGACAAATTTGATGATATGAGAAATTGAACAATTAAAACTATTATTATTATTTTATTATTATTATTATAATTATTATGTTAATGTTATTTTATAATATTATAATTTTATTAGTAATACATAAGAATGTGTGAATTCTATTTAAATAATAATTATAATTTAGTTATGTTTTTAATAGATTATGTTGGACTACTTTAATTTTATATTTCTTTAGTTATTTTTTATTTATGTTTGAATGTGTACTAGGAGGTATGAAACAACCACGTGTCACGACACGTGGCACATTACGTCTTGGCTATATCGACAGTCGACATGATTAAGATAGTAATTAACGTCTAGTGACATTGTCTCGGTCGAAAACCACGTGTCACGACACGCGGTGCGCCATGTCTCGGCCATTTTGACAGTCGACATGGTCGAGATAATATTTATCATCTAGTGACATTGCGTCGGTCGCGCCGGTTGCCGATACAGCCGAAACTACAAGGACTCTTGTGCCCAGGGTCCCGCGGACTCGGCCATGTCGGGCATCGAGACAATCGAGCCAAATGCTGGTCTCAATATATGCGATAGCGTCGGTCCGACTGGTAGCCAAGACCTAAAGGCATAACCTTATCCGAGGCGTCTATACATAGACCCATCAGACATCTTACTCCTCGGCTCGACCTACGATCAAAAGAACTAATACCATAATTGGTATAATAATCATGATTAACAAGGACAAATACGGGGTCAAGGAAATAATTGGTCATTAGACACCATATTACCTAATTTGGTAAATCACAGAAGAGACTCGCCATACGCAAGGCCCATTATAACTAGTATAAATAATCACACAAAACTAGGTATGGTTATTGTTTATTTATTGTTATCGATATTCGTACTTGTCCTGACTTGAACATTGAAGTGCCTTTTGCAAGTACCTCCCCCCTTTGACACATTTACCCGGAGCTCTCGTTCAGCCTTCAGATAACCAGAAGATTACAAGTGTGCCCTTAAACAGATACTTAATGTTATTTAGACTCTTTTAATAATATGTTTTTACATGAATTTTCTAAAAAAATAATATACATTTTATGTTAAACAAAATATCTGTTTATTTTCAAGAAAATAAAATAATTCAAAGTAATGATTAATTTAGTTTGGTGTGGATCGTAATTTTTTTTTATAAACAAAATGAATTGGTTCTAAATTTAGATTATTCCAAATATGATTCAAGTAGATCCATTAACACCTCGAGTTCAAAAATTCGTTCATCAGGAGACTTCATGTCTTGAAATGTGGAAATGCTTATGACTGAACTTATATAAGAAAAAAGAGTAACTCACAAATAATGATAAGCGATCACACGTTATGCTTATATTTGTTGTAGAAGAGATAATACTTGCACCCTATCAAAGAAGAAAAAAAAACACTAACATAACTGCTCAATTGAGCATCGCCCAATTATGGACCTTGAAACAACACAAAACAAGTACCGTCTAGTTGGCAAGTATTTAAAAACGTTGTAGAACAGCAAGCCAATAATTGAGAACATAAAATTTATGACTAATGATGCTTTCTTGATCTTAACATTGTGGCAGATCTGGTGGTGGTGGTATCACCGACTGTGCTGGACCAACTCCATTTTCTACCAAAAGGGCCGTTGCCAGACCCCAATTCAGATGCGAGTCTATGTGACAATGCAAGAACCAAATCCCTGATTTGCAATAGGGGAAAAAAGAATCACATAATTGGTTAGTATGCTTGGTAAGCCTAATAATACAAACTGTTAGAGATATGGTTTTTTTTAGAGAAATTTCTTTGCAGGCATTTATAGAAAAATAAATATTTCTAGAAAAATTAGTATGAAATTCTTACAAATTAATTTATGCATGAGTTAATTGTAGTTTTTGTAGTTTATAGATAAGCTTATTTATTGAGAAATTTATCCGAAGGTGACAAAGAACATCTGCATGAGTAAATATGCTATTTCTACCTGGATTATCAGCCACGAAACGAATGGCCACCCATCCTCCTGGTGGTGTTCCAATGGTGTTCCTCACAGGTGGGTCAACAAGGTTAAACCTTGCAGGATCTGTTGCTGGGTTGAAATTACCAAAGCCAGAACCAACTATAAAGAAGTGGAAACCATGAACATGCATAGGGTGGTCCTCAGTTGTTACTATGCTTGTATCCTGTAGAACAATTTGCACATTGGAGCCATACTTCAACTTGAAGAGCTTGGTTCCTCTTGCAGGTGTCCACAGTCCCCGGGGCACATTCCCAGTGTAATTGAATTGTACAGGAGGAACTGGAGGAAAGTCTGTGGTGAAGACACCAGGAATACCTTGATAATAGGCTTGCATTAAGGAAGTGGTTGTTGGGAGCACAAAGGAGTGATTGTTTATACTAGCTGTGAAACGTGTTCCATTTGGTCCTTGACACCTTGGACTATTAGGGTTTGTGCAGTTGATTAACCCTAGCCCTACAATGAAATTAAGGCTCACATCAACTTTTGTGAAGACATTGATCTTGGAAAGGCCTCTGATCCCAGCTGTGTATGCTGTTGCAGTGGCTGTGTCATTGAAAGCTGGTAAAACTGGCAGTATTGGTCTTGAGACTTGTCCATTTTTGTTGCTGCAGCTTGCAGATTTGTATTCAAGGATTGCAGTGGTGGTGGTGTTGTCAAATGCAGCATTCATGGCTGTTTGATAAGCACGCGCCGCCATGTAGTATCGGCCTGGGGCCTGATCAGCAGTGACCAGGACATTGATTGTTTGTCCAGGACCTATCATGAGGACATTGGTGGTGAAAGGCTTGGTGTATGCAGCATCAGTAGCAACAACAGTCATCCTGTGGTTGGCAATTGCAAAGAAGAGTTCTTGATTGAGTGCACTGTTGATGATTCTCAGGAGAATTGTCTCACCAGCATCTATTGGAACTCTTACAGTTTCTGCATTGTATATTTGTTGTGTCACTTTAGCAATGTCTATGTAACAACAGAATGCAAAATCTACATGGAAGCTAAGCTATGGCTCTATTATGATTCCAAACCTTGACTTGAACATCTGTAGAGGTCTCCAGGTTGACCATTGATTGTGTATGCAACAGATACATTTGGTGGTGCTCCAGTGAATTGTGTCTGTCTTAAGAGAACCATTGGATCCCTATCAAACCATTCCCCTGTGAATCATCATAATACAATCTGTTATGACTTAAGAACAATGAAGTGCTCAGCATTTTGAGAAGAATAAGTTATGGTTTTAGAGATGTACCAAGAAGGAGAGGATATTCTCTCTTAGGCATGGAGAAGGGATAAGGAGAACCCAATTTTGGATAAATGATGAGAGCTCCATAGACAGTGGCTCTTAGGAAGCCAGTGTGAGCATGCCACCAAAGTGTACCCTCTTGGTTTTGGATTGTAAAGCGGTATGTGTAACTACCCCCTGGCTGAATGGGACATTGAGTCACGTAACTAGGCCCATCTGCCCATGGATTTCTCAACATCCTTAACCCATGCCTGATTCACAGGACACAAAAGCTTTTAATTTTTAAGTATGAATCACTAGCATAGTAGTCTATTAAAAGTTAACTTTAACATCTATAAGGAAACTGTTCTGATTGAAAGATAAAATGTCTTGAAATGAAATTTATGTGAGGATAAATGATGATGCTATTTACCAGTGGATGGAGATGTTATATGGTCCAGCATTTACCACTTTGATTGCAAGAGAATCTCCATTTCTCGCTTCCACTGTTGGGCCAGGAAACTGCCCATTTACAGTGAGTATGTTTTGGGTTCTGCACAGCCTCTTCACTGGCGTGGTTTGAATCTATTTCAATCAAACATTGAAGTTATTATAATTAAGAATTGTTACAAGGCACGTAGCTTATTTAGATACAAACTTTAAAAAGATTTTTTAGAGCTTCTTTATCAAGAAAAGTTTTTTTGTTTATTAGAGAAACTTTGAAAAAAAATTTAAGTCTGTATCTAAATAGACTTATAATTGGAAACTGATAGCAAATAGTGTGATCACTACGTTAAATAAACACTTACAACAAACTCATGGTAGTGATTCTCTGCAGCTGAAGCAAGGGAAGCAATGATAGAGAGTAGGCCAAGTAAGAACCAAGAGCAGCATGACATGCCAGGGAGGTAGATACTCTTCATTGTTCTTAAAGAATTTGTCAAATGAAGTTACTTGAGTTATGTGGCATTTGGTCTAAGGTGTAGCTATTTATAGAATGATAAAGCGGGACATGCCTAGATTAAACCCATTTTCAACTTTGAAAGACAATTGTATTGGCCATTATTTAATTTGTTAACAGTATATTTAAATAATTTAATCATTTATGACTGTTAGTCTAACCACAGAGGATTTGGTGCACCCACTAGCGCAATCAACTAAGGAACAAATGTTAGATTCTGTGGTTTAGCTATATTGCAGGGCACAATGTGTACGAGAATTCATTTGAATTAACAAATCATCTTCAGAAAGTGCTTGTTAAGATAACCACTAATCATTGTCTAGCTCTTGCATACTAAACTTGTCTACGAATAATGAAACGATTGAAATTTATTCAGAAAGAAGGTAAAACTCAAGGGTGAAATATTTTCTTGTCTGAGAAGGTAAGAATGAGATCACAATCATGAATGTAACTATTTCTTTTTTGGCCCTTCAAAATCATTCTATCCTCGTTTAATTTGGAAGAAAGAAAATTTTAGTATGAAAGTAGTGAAAGAAATTATACATTAGTTTATCTTCATTTTCTTTCCCTTCATTTATATCACTTCCAAACAAGAGAGAATTTCACCCGTCCTAATTTCACGCTCTAATAACTTTTATGAAGGCATTTTTGTTTCATTAAAAAGATTCCGGTTAAAATACTAGTTTCTTTATGAAATTACTAATTAATTGATATTTTTCTTTCTTTTCTTTGATCACGATTTAATTCAAAAGGAGGGAGAGAAAAGAAAGATTTTAAGGGGAGGATAATGATTTTAATAAGGAGGAGACACATTATGTTTGATTCATAAGAATAATCTGATTAGTAAATTTACTACTAGATATACAAAATAGGCAAATGATATTAATTAAGAATAATTTATCTAATTAATGTAAAAGCTCCTCTCTCCTATGGATACGTTCAATTTTGGATGAGTCAAAATTCAGTAAGGAAAGAGTTTAATCCTGTCCCCCCTTTCATAATCTATAAATAATAAAGAGAGTAATTTCTGTGTTTCTTTTACCTAAAGAAAAAAGTTTTAGTTTTGGTGGAGAATAAAAAAGGAATACCGATAACCATGATTGTCTTGTGTTAACCTCTAATGTCATAGAAGCTGCAGCATCGTGTTTTTCAAAGAAAGGAGAATACATTAAAATCAGTGACATTTGAGAAATTCCAATTGGTAAATTGGTCCTTTTCATGCACTGTTAAAAAAGTTTGTTAAATTAGTACCCAAAATCAGATCGTCTGCTCAACAGTTCAAACGACAACATGGTCCACACGACCATGCATATTTTCTCTAACACATCAGTGTATATATTTCCTATGTTTATTTGTTATGTTCTAACACCGAAACACAGGAGTATCTTCTCAACCTTGAAACAACACATAACAAAAAAGAAATTAAATAATGGGCAGTTAAGGTCGGGTTGATTTTTGGTTTGGTTCGGTAGTGCAAAGAGTAGTAGTTCCGGGTTTAGTTGACTACTAAAGTTATTAGCTGAAACAGTGCTTTTCATTCCCCTACTTCCGCGTAATATGAAAGTGGCATTTGTTAGTTGTTATCCAAAATTAAAAAAGAAAAAACAAAGATAGAAAGTGGATGTAACATCTTCACTCATTCACAATATAAGTTAATCAGATGAACAGAACATGAAAGCAAGGGTCAAATGGCGGCAAAGATAGTAACTAAAGTAGCTACAAAAGGAAGCCATGAACTCAATTAATCTACTCGTAAAATATTTTGATAATGATACATATAAGTGTAGAAGTTAACATTGGTAGATATCAAATCATAGATTATCATAGAAAAAATTGTTGACTCTCATAATCACTTTAAGCTATATTTAGACTGGTACAATTTTTTCCCCCACTTTTCATCAATGAGACGAGTTTTTGTATAATCATCGATCCCGACACAAATTTATTTAATTAGCACAACACTTACACAAGCAGTTTAACATTGTTTCAAATGAAGCAGGTTTGATTCGTTTACTTTCGGTATTTCCTTTGCAAATGTTACATGCAATGTCGTTAGTATTGATTGGTGACCCTAATTTTCATGTATTAGGTAGGCTGCCACATGACTTTAGAACGATACCATCAATTATTAATTTGTTAAGTTCTAACCATGACCATTTTAGAATACCACATGTTTATAACAATCATGTAGAGCTATACATTAGATTGGTTTTCGTTGGTGGTTATGCATCAATATTCCGTGTCAAATTAAAGAGGCATAATATTGTCAAATTGACTTTCAAAAGCTCAATAGATAAGCTTTCTGCCGTCCTATATGATCCTCTATTTATATTCATGTTCTGTTGAATATAAGACATAAAGACCAATCACAAGATTGGATGCTGCAAACTTGGATGGCTTTTATTACAAAGGGTCAAGTTTAGCCGAAGTGGATAAATCAAACAACATTTGTCAAAATGAAACGAACCTGGATCCTTTGAAAAAGAAGTGGGAGGAGCAGTTTGTCATATAAAAGCTCACATTCGTTGAATAAAGTTTTTAATATTTTAACATAAAATAAAATGATTTTTAAATAATTTTAAACTACATAGTATCATGTTACAACCTGTACCCTCACAGGTCTATGATCGACTGATTATAATTCACAATCCATATGTTGACCAATTTATTAATAAGAGGTTATCGACTAAATTTTTGTATCAATTACAATGATTCAATTAAAATATCAAATAAATATATGACTATTATTTTGATAAGATAAATACACTCAAGAAATGAAACACTTAATGATGTGTATGTAAAAAAAAAAAAAACGTTAAGATCAAGATCAATTATTGATTAGTAGAGCAAAAAACACACAAGAAAAAAAAAAGAATAAAACTATTGAGTGTTACAATAATTGTAATGAGATCATTTTTCTGACCGAAACACAAGTTAAACTTTTATCACAAAATGCAAGCAATGGATTGCTAGCTAACACCATCTTGTGTGATAGGACTTAAAACTTCTATAAAAAGGCAAGTAATGGATTGCTATAACACCATTGTAATCATATGTCAACATTTTGACGTAATTTTGATTTATTATATATATATAAAATAAGGCCCTAATATGCCTACAGTTTTTTGTTAGAGAAATTATATATATATATATATATATATATATATATAAATTAAAAACTTTCTAAATGATATCATACATAGTACATTCTATAATTTTTAAAAAGATGTTGTGTATCGAGAGTTTTCAGACATTTTTACATTGATATGATATTATTTATTTTGACCTCAATCAAAATCTCATGAATTTAATTTGGTCATTACCAAAAAGCATAATACTAATAGAGACATTTTTATGCTTATAAGCCACTGTTGCTAACATGCTCTAACTTGCATTATTACTCTTTCGTTAGCTAAATTAGCACACCACCTAACCTCTATATTACTAAGAGTCTTTTAATCTTCATAAATAGATCCACCATCGCAAAAACCTTCAATATCAAGGATTCTATGTCCTGATTTACTACCAATTCCACTCCTAATTCTTGTATGAGAAGGTAAATTGACTTTGATACCGTTTGTTGTATATTCGGGGTTCACACATGTCTTCATAATGATATGATATTATCCAACTTAAATCTCATGAATTTGTTTTCTATCATTATCCAAAAGATCTTGTATCAATGTGGAACCATGTATATGAGGACAAGTGGTATCAAATGTGATGGTTCAATCAAATTGACTAGTTAAGATGAGTATTAAGAGTGAAATTGGTGATGCGATTAACCACATAATTCCTTGTACCAAAGATTTTCTTGATAGTAAGCTTGTATATGGAGATCAAAAGTCTCTATAGTAACATAGAGGTCAAACAACATGTCACAATTGTTAACTTTATCTTTATATATCTTTAAGATTGGGTTAAACCTTTGAACTAATTTACTCCTTTGGTTATTCAGATTAAGGATGAAGAGTTCATGACAAACCCAAAAAGAGCCTTCAAGAAAAATTTAACACCATATCTAATTAGCATATACTACAAAAAATGTTATATACAATGATAGACATAATGTGTCATTATAAAAACAATATATAGATATAAATTTATTTGATATATAGTTATACACAATTTAAGTATTGATTTTAAATGAGATTTAACAAAGATATATTACATGTGACTATAACCTATACTATAACACTTGTTAACAATATATCAACATATATTATATTTATTATGTAGATAAAAATAGTTTTTAGTAACAAGTATTATGTATCATAAAGTAAGTGTTACTATATGACAATTTTTTTATTATAATGATAACAACCGGTTTGAGTTGAAATATGACTTAGTATACCTGTTTTCCATCTTTTACGATCAAGAGAATGAAGATTCATACTAATACTTGAAAAGAATTCCAAGAGTTAGTTTGGATAAAAATTTAGAAGATTATTTGTTTATTAGTCTTACTTATTTAAGTGTATTTTTATAGTTATTTCCATAGGAAAAATTTTTAGAAGACTATTTTACTTTTAATAATATATAAATATATAGATATAGATAAATCAATTCCTAATTTGAATTTGAATGTACAATTAAATTAAAAAAATAAATTAACCATCATTTCATTATTATTACATGTATTTTCTTATGATAGTTATTTATTTTTATGTAAAATTATTTGTGTTTAATTGATGTAATTTAATTTATTAAATGATAATAAATTGATTTTACCATTAATAGAAAAACGTTTGAATTTTAAAAAGCTAAAAAAATTTTGAAAAAAAATGGCCTGAGCTATGTAGTTTTGAGAGGGACAAAATTTTAGAAGACTATTTTATCTTTGATAATATATAGATAAATATGAATTAATAGAAAACATTTAAATTTTAAAAGGTAAATGTTTTAGGAAAAAAGAAGTCCAAAATATATAGTTTTGAATGAATTTTTTAAAAAAAGACTATTCTACCTTCTATTTATACTAATATGGAAATATTTTTTCAGGTAACTATTTTTTGTTTCCATAATTTGTGAATGATTATATCCTCAATTATTAAAGAAGAAATTAATAATTATAGTAATCACTATTAACCAACTTTAAATAATAAACTACAATATTATATTTTTTTGTTAATTTTATTTTT